TGACTAGTAATTAATCACTTAAAAACACTATTAAAAGCACTGTTAATAGTGATTTTAATAGTGCTTTTAAATGATTAATCACTAGCCAAAAAATCACTTACAGTATTAAATTTCTATAATGGCTTCTGCACACAGAACGCGGAAACGCTTGCCGCGCGGCAAGAAGCGACGCGGTAGCCAATCAACGTGTTGCTTTTCCGTAAGAACCAAAAGTTTATTGGCTACCGCGTTGCTTCTTGCCGCACGGCAAGCGTTTCCGCGTCCTGTGTGCAGAAGCCATAAAGGGCATAATAATCGAAGGTGTAATATACAACATTACGACAACACCCGAGATGCATAAAAGAATACGAAATGGTAAGTTAAGTAGTAGAGTATTTCATTAAACTAATTTCATTAAACAGCTCGTTGAGCTCGTTGAGCTTCCATTTTATTCGTTGCTAATACTACTTTTTCAACGTTCCAAATCGTTCAACCAGAGTAACTTACTCTGGGCTTACTCTCTGCCCACTACCTTGGGTTCTTTAGAGTTGACGGAGTAGAGTTTTGGAACGTACACACGACGGGGACAGGAATGCCTTCTCACTTGAAATTGCACGCGTATCGGGGCATATTCAGAGCGCGTGCTCCGTCTCTAGATATTCGTTCATCATGACTGTAAAAGTATCCTCACAAGACTCTCGTATAGTAATGCAGCGTAACGTAACGTGGATCAGCGCACCAGAAACGTATCGGTTAAGGTGTTATACGTTTTTTGTGCGTTGATCTACGTTACGTTACGCTACATTACTATACGAGAGTCTTGTGCGGAAGCTCTTAATTACTCGGCAAAGTTGTCCCAACATATACTTTAAGAATATTTTATAATAATATATTTCAAATAAATAAATAATTCATTAATAATATCTATAATCTTAAGGTGTATTAATTAATAATATAATATCAGGGAAAGTTACGTTTGAAAAGTAACTCGTTACCGTAATTCGTTGCTCATTGAAAAAGTAACTTATCGTTACCGTATACAACTCGTTATTTTTAAAAGAAGTAACTCGTTACCGTTACTTGTTACTCATTGAAAGAAGTAACTTATCGTTACCGTAACTCGTTATTCTCATTGCAAGAACACCGAAAGAACGGTTTTGCTAAAGATTAAAAAAATTTAGCTAGATACAGATCTGAAAATAATTTGATTATATTTTGTTGCACCATCAAAATAATTATGTAGAACGTTCAAACTTATTTCAAAATCGTCCAAATTTTTTACAAAATTATTATTATCTTTACTCTAGCGACCTACTATAATTATTTTGATCTTGCAACAAAGTTATTTTCTGTATCTAGCTAAATTTTTAGATACTTCAACAAAACCGTTCTTTCCGGGAGTAACTCGTTACCGTTGCTCGTTATTCATTGAAAAAAGTAACTCATCGTTACCGTATACAACTCGTTATTCTTAAAAGAAGTAGCTCGTTACCGTTACTCGTTACTCATTGAAAGAAGTAACTCATCGTTA